GAATACGGTAATTTGGCTCAAACGGACAAATGATTGGCTGACACGTGCCGCTGCGCGGCACATGTCAGCCAATCATTGGGTCGTAATGGCCGGAATGCGTCGTGGTTAGGGTCGGGTTAGGGCTGGATTAGGGTTAGTGGGAGCTATAGGCTATAGTAAAATTATTAGCTGGGCACTTTTCACTTAATGAACAACTATTGTTTCATTAGCTGTTAGTAAAATTCTTAGTGATCTTGGGGCAAAATTGATCAACACCGGCCCTTCCGACCCGGATCTCCCTGTAGGAGTTGTTTGAGCCAAATTACCGTTATTCAACAATTTTTGCCCAGTATTGTATACTTCATAGGCAGTTTAAATCAATTTAATTTTACATTATTTATACAGTTTAAAGTACATTTTAAAAAAAAAGAAAACTATTATGAATAAACAAAAAAGAAGTATATAGAAAGTTTTATTAGGGTTGTAGGACTCCACTATTAAAAATAACCAAAATTCTTTTTTGTTTTAGAGAAGTTAGCATAATAACGACTTCTTAAAATTAGCGCATATTTTATTGAAAAATGATTGGCGCTCTGCGCGTATTATAAATTTACTTTACATATATAAAAATTTTTGTGTGTATTTTTAAAACATGTATTTAAAGTTTGCGCGCATATCATTCATATACAATACGCGCTTGCGCCAATCAAGATTTTTTGAATTTATAACACTGGTTATCACCGTGCTAACTTAAATAAAACAAAAAAGAATTTTGATTATTTTTAATAGTGGAGTCCTACAACCCTATTAAAACTTTCTATATACTTCTTTTTTGTTTATTCTTCGTAGTTTTCTTTTTTAGAATGTACTTTAAACTGTATAAATAATGTAAAATTAAATTGATTTAAACTGCCAATCATACGAATGTCTGCCTATGATCGTTGAGTAGCGTTGAGTACGTCTATAAGCAATCTGATTGGCTACAAGACGTGTCCATCTGAGTATTTATAAAATTTTACCTTTTCCAAATTCTTCAGAACGAGTTATGGATTTTTATCGAGTGAACACAATCGGAAATTGGACGTGTGTGAATTTACTGGAAGATTATCGTTCGAATACGCGATACAAGGACAAGAAGCAAATTTTGGATTGTATTAAAAAAAACTTTCAAGGAATGGAGGATTCTAATTCATTTGATGCAGGCAAATCAGGCTCAGGCCCATCCCATGGGCCAGTAAAAAAAGGAGAAGCTCGAAAAATACTCGATAACTGGAAGGTATTTTCATTTAGTAGGATAGGGTTTGAACGGATTAAGTGATTGATCTGAACAGTTATGAACTATTCGTTCGACGCTAAGTGCAAGCTGGGACTACTTGTCGCTAGTGATGAATTACTCATTCGACGCTTAGTGCAAGCTGGGACTACTCGTCTTATAAGGACGATCTTTAATCCTGATTAAGTGATTGATCTGAACAGTTATGAACTACTCGTTCGACGCTAAGTGCAAGCTGGGACTACTAGTCTTATAAGGACAATCTTTAATCCTGCGTTTCTTTTGTTCTATATTATTGTCTTGTTACTTTGAGCGGATTAAGTGATTGATCTGAACGGTTATGAACTACTCGTTCGACACTTAGTGCAAGCTGGGACTACTCGTCTTATAAGGACGATCTTTAATCCTGCGTTTCTTTTGTTCTGTATTATTGTCTTGTTATTGAGTAACGTTTCAATTTTTTCTAATCACTATACTATATTTTGTATAACCAAGAAATGGACCGCATAAAGAATTCAGATCAAGATCGTTTAACTAAGAAATGGACTGCACCAGTAAAGAATTCAGATCAAGATTGTGAAGGCGCAAAAATCGGGTATCTGCAAGTAAAGCAGATTAATTTACTTACTGGGAGTGGCTCTACATACAATGACAATCGCATAGCTTCAGGAAAACGTTGTCGAGATGCAAATGGCGAAGAAACTAATACAAAAGAGGTGAGTCATTAATTGCTATATATATGTGACTGACATTATTAGTGTTTTCTCTATTTGTCTATTGCTACCAACACTGATTGTGGTCTAGCGGAATTTAACAAATGCTGATGGTCCTAATGATAAGATAGTGTCTCAAGAATGCTCAGATAACAAAGTGGGTAAATAAAGTGTAAGTATCTCCATCACGTTATGCATATCGAAATAATTTTATAAATTGGTTTGCTTCTATTAATTGTCAATGTAATTAGGGAAATAATATTTACAATAATGACGATCCTGATGAAATAATAGAATTTAAATATAATGAACTAGAAGAATTAGAACAGCAAATAATGTCCAGTTCATTAAGCGAGATATACAGCAGTAATTGAACCTTTTAATTTCCGCTTATTGTATACATGTTGTGTTATTTTATATTTTAGTGGGAAGTAGGCACAGTTAACGTGTCAAGAAAATTCAGAATATATCAAAGACAATTAATAACAAGTGTGATGCATGAAAAAAGAAAATTGACGTGGAAAAATACATTCGAACTATTATAAGTACTTTAACAATATTTAAGTTGTATTTACTTGTGAAGACATACTGAATCTATTTATCCTATTTTATTTTAGAGCTCTATCGTTAATAATTATTATGGATTAGTAATACGTAATAATATCCTTATCCATTGGGATTAGCGGGAACTTCGTTTCCGCTTATTCACATATA